CTATGTTTCTTCTGTCTACTTTCTATAACATTTGGTATTACAGGCCTTATTTTTCTCATTTCTGGGACATGTTTGTATTTTATTTTAATAACTGTTTTAAAGTTCCAATAAATTATAAATTTAGTTCACTGTTGAAAACAACTCTTAGGAATCTTAATACCTAGGACAAGATTGCTGTTAAACAATTCTGTTTTTCATTTTTTGTGATAGCTTTAGTCATCATTTTCAAGAAAACATAGTCATCTCATTAAACTGACATTTTTATTCTATATTTTATAACGGTTGCTGAACAGTAGGCCTATAAATTCTGACTATTCCAGTAACCTACAGTAAATCTAACATGGTTTATAATTTAAATTATTACCTTTATTTATTTTATATTTTACAGATCGTTACATAGATTTCAAACCCAGGTACAGCCATTGTTCCAATAATGACTATGTCTTAGACAAACTAATCTATAGCTCACCAACCAGCTAAATACTGAATTTGTCCAGGTATTGTGACAAAGGTGAGCTCGGATGCTTACCTGCGCTGGGAAGGAAGCTGCGGACACAAGGTGATGCGAGTACAGAAGACTGGTCAGTTCTACTGTCTAACCTGCAGACAGACTTCTGCATCCAGCACGCAGAAAGTTGTGTTGGAAGTCTGTGTTGTTGCAGTGGACATTCCACACCTTATCAGGGTCAAGGTAAAGCAATAGCTTTGACAAATGATAGAAGTAGACTTTCCATTTCCATGCTCAAGCTGTTGTCAGTTTTATGATAGGAGTGAAAGTATAGTTAGTTAATGAAAGTTAGTTAGTAATTATTGAATTGTGCCACCAACAGAGTGTAATGTAAATACTAATTTATTGGGAATATTCCTAATTTTAGACCTAATCAAAATTTTAAAACAACTGTCAATTAAATGTCTTGAATCATGAACTTTTTCCATTTTCCATTTTTGAACCAAATTTTCATTCACAACTAGAACAAACAGACATACACTGGATTTTATATAGATTTTCGATAGGGATAGACGGGATTGAATTGTTAGGTCGGGACGGGACAGGATTTTTATTTCCTTCCCTATTTTCGGGACAGGATTTTTTTCCTTTGCAAAAAAGGGTTTGTTTTAAAAGTCTTAAGTATTGCAGTTACAAAAAAAATCAATTTTTACTGTTTGTGGCACTGATCTATAAAAACTAATAATGGGTAAAAATTTACAGCTATAGAAAAAACGTTGTGAGTAAATAATGTCATATTTGGTGTAGTTTAACTGTAAAACATCAGTCAGTACTTAAAATCAAATATAACTTTAAAATCACTTTCATGCTGAGGAAGGAGCTTATGGTTGGTTTATTTCAAATGCTCTGACACCTTTTGTCTGTGTTACGTTAAATATCTTTAGAATATTTTTGTTATTTTATATGATTTTACATAGTTTTTTAAAAGAATTTTTTAAAGTTGCCATAATAATGCCAAGAACTTAAAATCCACTTTAGTTAAGAAGACAAATTATTCTAATTGTTCAAATGAATGCCCGATCTATTGGAGTGTTCATAATATTTTACAAATTACCAGAGAGATATATTTTTAAATTGGTAAATAATAATAGTCAAGATTTTTTATTTCTGTACTTTAGGAATATTTGGGGAAATAGCTGTCCAACAATTTTAACAACCTTAGTTGTTAGGGATTTACTGTAATCCAAAATAATTCATACTGATAAGAAACTATAGTTCAATGTGAAATTTAATTCACTGGTATTTTCTATATAGCAATAATCAGTCTTCTCACTTTGTATTTATTATACTAATAAGTCATGTTGTTGGTCACTTTCAAGGTCAAAAGTGAAACGGCTAGAGTATTATTGGCAGAAACAAGCGGTCAAATATCTTCTGAAAAGGTTTGTAGTTTTCTTTTTTTAATATTGTCAATTGAGAAGCTTAGTGTACAGTAATTAACCTTCTCTTGTAACTGCAGTTGTTGGAAATGAATGTAAAATATAGCGTATGTTCATTTTTAACTGTTTTTAAGTTAGTAAGTTAACTGACTGACTTTTGAACAAAGTAGCTCAATAGTGGAACCTTCTGCAGATAATCAAACACTGTTGAATACTGACCTTATGTAATGTTTTATTGCTTCAGTGCCAAGGATAACCCTTGACTTTCTCACTGTCTTTGGATAAACACTGACCAGAAGGTCATCAATCATAAATTATCAATTATTTAAGATGGGGACGCCACTACATAGTGAACGTCCTATAACGTTTATTAATATTGGACTCAATATCAATACGCACATGCGTATTTTAACCCAAATATGAGTGAAGGGTGAGTGTAGGGATCTTGTAGTCTTGTTAGTGACTAAGGCTGACATGTTCCTTAGACACAGCTGTTAATTAATAGCCCATACCGCTAAAGGCAACTAAGGGACCTACAGTTTATAGTGGAATCCGAACCACATTTTTTCTTTGTAATTTACGAATTGGTCTTATTATCAGGATAGTACTGCGGATAGTCGTAGTACTCACTAGTGCGGACGTTAATCCACACCAGGGAGCATCGCATCCACAGTGCATCCTTTAAATCTACAATTCGTGACCTCCTAGTAGCTGGATTACAGGACGACGCCACCCGTCCTAGTCATGACAGGCAGTTAAAGTTTAATGATTTATGTTTTTTGTTTGAATCACGCCCTGGGGTTAGTTTTACTCAACTAGACGTAAGACTTCCATATATAAGATGTTTTAACTGTCTGGGATTTGCCTGTTGGGTTGGGTATGATGATAATAAGGCCTAGAGTGTCCAATCATTAATTGATCACCTCTTAGCGTCTTTTATTTATATTTACCATCTTGTTAGTAAACATTTTATTTTAAGTGTTAAAAAACCTCAACCAAGATTAGTCATACACTGTATTATAAAAAGACTTAAGTCTATGTCCAAAGTAATTAACTACATCTGCCTTTTAAAAGTTTTAGTTTATTATCACTCACTTTTGGGTGAGTCGGTAGTTTCCATACACTTCAGGCCCAAGGCAGCAATGCTGTGTGTTCAAATCCTGGTACCAGCCCCAAAAAAAATAATAAAAAACATTCTAATATGTTTTCTAACAATATTGTTTGAGTTAACAAAGCGCTATTTCTGTCACAGAGCTACAATATGATCGGAGTTATTGGATCTACACTGAAGTGCCTTGCAGTTGTGTCGGAAGTTTTGAGGAACTCATTTGGGGACATTATTGAGTTTGTTCTTGAAGAGCTTTAACTTTTACTTTGTGTTTGACTGATTCACAAGTTTAAATCAATTGATATTTTTTATATTAAGCTTCAACTGTCTCAAAAATTAGTAACTGACTTATTGGAAAATGATGTTTTGATAATCATCCTTTATTTTGTTTTGTCACTGCCTTACATTAGTCTGCAACATAAAAACTAGTCTGTAAATAAAAGTTAGGTTAAATGACAGTATTTATAATACCTGTATGATATTTCTATGTTGGTGCAATATGATCTATCTAAGTTATTGTAATCATTTCTTAGAAGATTCGTAACTGATAATTATTATAAACATCAAAGACTAAAATGTCTAGCTTCCTTTGTGATATTGAATATTAAGTAAATACTGATGTAATGTTTTTATTTCTTTATATGGACTTTATTTAGTGATAAAATAAGAGATATTCAATGTGTAGTATAAAAGATGTGATTTAATGTCATTTTAGAATTAAGTAAGTAAAATAAACAGTTTTTTCTTAACTATTTTAAAATGCAAACCTGTTTTCATTGTCAGGAGTAACTTAGTTACTACTCTGTTATTGTGTATCCCTGTCATCTGAACTTTAAATAAAAAATAGAAACATTCATTATTGTCTATTTCATTGCCAAGTAGTTTTACACTTTTAAATAATTTTGTATTAAATTTATTTGAAATCTTCAGCTGTAGCTTTAATGTTTTTATTTATTGCTCATAAACAAACAAAATTAGTATGGCAACGTTTTCTTGTCTATGGTAAAAGGTGCTATTATAGATAATAATCTACTTACGTATCACGTATGCCAGTAGGTGTCAATTATTAATACTTGATATGCTGTACATGTTTCAAGCCTAATTACGGCTCATCTTCAGCAGCATTTTTCTATGTACAATTTTCACATCGAGAGATGATTGTCGACTATATACAGACCACATATACACACAAACAGAACGTTTTAGCATGCTATTTTTATTATTTACATGTGTTTTTTTGTAGCGTACGCTCGTTTAAACAATACCCGACCGGACGACATTTGTAGGCCTACTAATGTCGTCCGGTCGGGTATTGTTTAAACGAGCGTACGCTACAAAAAAACACATGTAAATAATAAAAATAGCATGCTAAAACGTTCTGTGTTTGTGTGTATATGTGGTCTGTATATAGTCGACAATCATCTTTCGATGTGAAAATTGTACATAGAAAAATGCTGCTGAAGATGAGCCGTAATTAGGCTTGAAACATGTACAGCATATCAAGTATTAATAATTGACACCTACTGGCATACGTGATACGTAAGTAGATTATTATCTATAATAGCATATTAAAGGTGTCAAGGCTGATTAATTCGGTAAAAGGTACTGTAAATATTATTTACATTTTTATGACAATCTAAATATACAGTAGTAGGCCTACAGGTATAAGTTTTGATTTTTTTGTGAATGTAGTAAAAGATCTCTCACATCCTGTTACAGTAGTCTAAACTGCTAGTCAATTTGACGCCCTTATGTGCTTAAAAAATTATATTAAATTTAAGTAGAGTTTCAGGTTGATTGCAACATTAAAAGATTGCTGATAGGTTAACCAATATAACTTTATTTTATTAAGTAACTCCCAAAATTATCTTTTTTAGTACATCCTGTAAAAATAAATATTGACTAGCAAGATAAGTTGCTCATTATCAATATTCTTTGACTTCTGACTGTAGATAAAGTAAGTAAGAACCACAAATAAAGCTGATTCTTTCTTCAACCAGTGTCTAAAAATGCTGTCAGCATTCATTGTTGTGTTTGTTTTATCTACTTTTCATATCAAAGCATTGGAGTATCCGGTAGTGCAAGTGGACCAAGGTGCTTTACAAGGAGTGGAGGACCAAACAACATTGGGGAAGAAGATTTACAAGTTTGTTGGAGTGCCTTATGCCAAACCACCTGTGGGCAAGAACAGGTTCGAGGAGTCTAAGCCAGCTGAGAAATGGCAAGGTATTTACCCAGCCACTCAACACAGTTCCGTTTGTTTGCAGCATATGTTGAACTATGACAGCCCAGATTTGATAACGGGAGATGAAGACTGCCTGTATTTGAACATTTACACCCCGGCACTATCCAACTTGTCAAATCTTCCAGTTGTGGTTTATTTCCACGGGGGAGCGTTTATGTTCGGAACTGGGCACATTTTCACTCCTCATTTTATCCTGGACAGATTCGACTTTGTGTACGTATCAGTCAACTATCGACTCGGCCCTTTTGGGTTTTTGAGCACCGAAGATGAAATCGTCCCTGGGAACAATGGGCTTAAGGATCAAGCATTGGCTTTGAAGTGGGTGAATCAAAATATTGCTGCGTTCGGAGGTAACAAAGACGATGTTACTCTCTCAGGGTTGTCAGCTGGTGGAGCCAGTGTGCATCTGCATTACCTCTCCCCTCAGACTGCAGGATTGTTCCAGAAAGGAATCTCCATGAGCGGATGTGCCTTGAATCCTTGGGTGTTGGCTGAAAAGTCGGCAGAGAAGGCAAAACAACTTGCGTTGTCTGTTGGGTGTCCAATTGACACTTCTGAACAAATGGTTAACTGTTTGAAGAGATAACCTGGACGGAATATACTTGAACAGTTAAAGTCCTTGTTCTGGCCTTGGGAAACACTCCCTTTCTCTCCTTTTGGAGTTGTAGTAGAGACTTCTGGGAAGAATCCATACTTGTCCGAACACCCTTTGAAACTTATCTCAGAAGGAAAGGTGGCAGATCTTCCTTGGCTGACCAGTGTTACAAAGGATGAAGGCCTTTATCCTGCTGCTATGTTTATCGATCGGGAAGAACTTCTCAATGAATTAAATTATAACTGGAACCAGATAGTACCCCACATCTTGGACTATAACTTCACTATTCCATCGGATGATATGAACAGTGTAAGTGAGAAAATTAGACAGTTTCATTTTAAAGGGGATCATGTTTCGATTCAAAATCGAAATAAACTTATCACCCTGATAGGTGATAGGCTGTTTAAGGTTGATATGGAAAGAGCATCACGGTTACAAGCAAAAGAAAATCAGTCACCTGTGTACTTTTATGAATTCGCATATCAGGGAAAATACAGTTTCTCCATGTATCTCACCAAGTTTAATGAAACATGTGGAGTAAGCCATTGTGATGATTTGCTATACATTCTTAATTGTCCAATGTTGACACCTTTGGAGGTGCTGGAAGATAAGGAGGTAATGCTGAAAATGACAGAAATCTGGGCCACCTTTATTCAATTCGGAAAACCTTCTATAGGAAAAGATGTTGTATGGGAACCAGTTTTAGGAAATTCTGAGAACTTCAAATATTTGTTTATTAACTCTAGTAAGGACATAAGAAGCCAGTCTGTTTCAGAGTTCGGCAACAGAGGATTTTGGGATATAATAAAATTTGATGAACTTGAACATTCAGCTGAAATAATGAGGTTTGAAGATCAATTGTAGTGTACGTAATTATTTATAAGTACAATATTATACATCTTCACTTCAAAAACATGACTACCCACAATGCAGAGCATATTTTAAGGGATTTCCACTGGGCAACAGCGGTGCCCGACTAAGCAATGTCTAATCAACCAAAATATGTGTCTATTTGAAGTAAAAGTAAGAACTTAGCATTCAATTTTTAATTACTAAATACTCCTAAACACCCCCTGAACAAGAAATGCTCAATTATGCACTGCTTTACAACTATTAGCTACATTTCATTCCCAGGTATTTAGATTATACCTTTTACAAATAAATTTCATCAATACTGTACACTAAATCTTAAAAAAAAAGTTGTAAATGTTTTAACTAAATTTTTCCTTATTCTAACAACGTTTTATGTTAACTAAAGCCTGTCGTCGTTAATTAACACAGGTCATGTGTAGGCTTAAGTTATATTTACTTTACTAAAAATCATAAAAATTAAAAATGGTAAAATGTAGGAACATAATTCTTTTGGCATTTGACATACATTTGGCATAAATTCTGATACATTTAAAATGTGAATCATGAAAAAAATATGCCGGCACCAATATAGCCACTGGGCGACAAAATCTTAGCACTGTGTCGCCCAGTTAACATGTTATTTTATGCCCTGCCATAATGTTCTTAAAATTATGCAACACTAGTTTAATCACAGTTTTTTCTAACTCTTATTGTATATTGTTTTTTTTGTTATTAGTACTTGTGATTCTTAAAAAGGCTGACAGATTTAAGTCCCTGTGCTTCATGCCCCCAAAGTTTGTAACCAGCAAGTTGGAAGGTAGAAGATGGTGAGTAGCTATTTATTTTACTAAACATTTTGTACATTTGCTATGTTAAACTTGTTAAAGAAAGCTTAGCTAGTCAGTTTTTAATGTCAGCTCATACCATCTTATTTATAGGGTATTATCTAGGAATAATTAACTAACTATAGTTTCCTATGAAAACAAATCTCTTTATCGTATTTTAAAATATGTAATTGTCGTTGTCAATTGTTCTTATTTACCTATTATATTAAATTACAATCTTTTAATAAAAAAGGGTTTTACCAAAATGTTGTTCTAATTCTTCTGTTTACCTAATCTATATTTAATACGCTAGGCATATTTTTGTCATAATTGTTTTGGAGTGGTGGTGCTACCGATCACCATGTTCAAGGTGTCGTTAGAAAGGTCTTAGCATGTAGTTTTGCCATCAAACAAAAAAAACTTTGGAATTCCATCAGAGCTTTGCCCCAGTGGCCTTCAAAGTTCCCATGTTATTCTTAGGGAGAAAATGTTTGTTTAAATTTGAACAGATGAATACTTTGAAATTGACACTAATATTTGAAACAGATGGTTGAACTAAAATTTTGCACAAAATCAAAACATAACCAAAAAAACGTTCGACATAATGAAGACTATAAGACTTTGACCAGGATGGCAAATAGGAAGAGGCCGACGAACTTTAACTGGTAGATGCGAACGAAATACAAATAATACTATTGTGATTGTGTGGGTTTAAGTGTGCTCTCCATTAGTCGCCTGAAGATTTCACATTCAATTTATGACTGTTTGATAATCACTGCATATGCTGTTGTTTTTGAAAGACAAGGAGGAGGGTAGGACTAATTTAGAAACAGAAGAGAGGAGATATTAGATGAGTGGCAAATGCAATGGGAGCACAGTGTTTTATGTTAGCGTTTTAAGGGTAAACGTTCGTATACCTAACATCAGAAAGAGACTGGAACAAGATTGGGAGAAGGGCCATTATGAAACGCAGTTTGTCACAGGACACTGAAAATTTCAAGGCGATTTTGTGAAGATTTCACATGGTGGAAGAGGAAGTATGTAGATGTGGAGAAATAAAAAACACGAGTCACGTATTTATAAATTGCTCACTTCAGGAGACAAATAGGAGAGAACAGGAATAAGTCTCGGGTAAGATAGGCCTAGAGATGAGAAAATAAAACATGATGAGTGACAAGGAAGCAATTGAGACGTTTAGAAAAGTAGCTAGGGAAATAGGAAAAGACAAGGGAAAAAGGGATGAAAACTTGCCCATGAAGGGGAGAGGAAAGGTTAGAGCAAATCTCAATGATCCATATCGCTCAGGGCGGTATGGGGAAGGGAGTCGTGTTGGCTTTTGGACACATAATGTGTCTGGAAACCCAATGCAGCTATGAGTAAGGCTATAAAACACTATTGTATGCAGAAAACACTATACAATAAATGTTGATTATATCAATATATTATGTACATCTTTAGTATTTCCATAATCTTTGAGTCGAATATTTTAAAGTCATCATAAATTATGACTGTTATTAATTTTAAAATAACGCCTGTAATACTTAAAATTGCTTGAATTCGAGCAACAGGTACACTAGTTCTTACTAATTTCTTTAAGAGATGAGCTAACTGGCTTGTAAAACGTTTGACTCTTTATGGCAACTATTTGAATACTTGTTGTTCTTGTTAATCCCTTTTGAGCAAATCATTTCCTGTAAATATTTAAGTGTAATTTTTTACAGTAATATTGAGTGGTCTCAAGTCTCATTATATACAGGTGTCCATAAAAAACACGTTTCAGGACTTTGGTATATGAATCCTCATCTTACTTAAATGGAAAGAAGAAGTGTATGTAAAGGTATGTCTGAAAATGCATATTTACCTAGATATCCGCCATTTTGTTTTCTTTACTTAACTATTTATATCTTTGAAGTTTTTCTACCGATGATTATGAAACTTGGTAAGACTGTTAAAGTATACAAGACCTATTACAATAAATCTATATTATATAAGACCTATATACAGGGAAAAAATCAAGTTGGTCCGATGCTTACGTTCCATAATCATCGGTTGAAAACCTTCAAAGATAAAAATAGTTCTTTATGTATAAAAAACAAAATGGTGGATATCTAAATAAATATTAATTTTCGGACATACCTTCACATACACTTTTTGTTCTTCCTTTTAGTATAAGGATTCATATCCCAAGGTCCTGAAACGTTTTTAAGGACACCCTGTACATGTTTTTGCACATGTACATTTGCTACAAAGTATCCGACAAATTTATTCCTTCATGAAGTTTCCTTACACAGTGTAAGGCAATTATTGTTCATCAATTTCAATCAGTTGTTTCAATCAGTTTTCTATCTATTTATGTTTTTAGGAACTTCAATTCTATTTTTTTAGTCATACATTACTTTCTTATAACATTCTCTAATCACATAATGTTGAAATAACTGCCTCTTGAATCTCTTTTCATGTATATATTAAATAATCCCTCTTTGTTATTTTTATTAATCTCTTATAACCCATCATTACCGTATTGTTTTAAAGAAATCCATAACTGGCTGATGGAAAATGTGTGGTGTAGAAGAGTCAGAGGTGGACTTGACCTTGTATTGTTATCATTTCAATGCTCTCTGTGTCATCAACATCAGAATGTGAGATTAACAATTTATTATATCACAGACGATGTTAGTTCAAAACCTAATATTTATTTCGATACAAGAAACAAGTTTGTGCTCTTAAGAAAAAAACCCAACAACAAACTAAACTGTGTTACGTTTAGAACAATTCATGGATGTGTACAATCTAAGTACACATGAATGTAATTCATGGATATAAATTGAAATAAACTGTTATCAGCAATCTCACTCATACTTTCTTCCATTAGCATGTCAACAACCATTATCATGGGTAAGCGGTGAGAGTAACTACGATATTTTGTTTTGGGAAAATCGCAAAAGTTTAAATCACTTTTGAACCGTAATTTTTACAGCAATGTGAGGTGACACTATTTTGTGTAGAATTATAAGGACCATAACATAATAAATTGAATACCAAGCTTTTTTTTGAAAATCCTATTTTTTATGATTTTTGTTGTGGAGGAATAATATAAAAGCTACAATAACTTATGAACCGTAATTTTTACAGCAATAGAAGTTATATAATTTTGTTCAGAAATTTAAAGGCTATAACATACTAGATTTTTATCAAAATCATTCAGGCCGTTTTGGATATAATTAGATATTTCCGTTTTTTAATGGGAAAATCACCATTAAAATCAAACATTAAAAAAAATTAAAGACCATTGATTAGTACATACATACCAAATTTCATCAAAATCAGACTATAGGTGTGGTCTGTAGCTCTGTACCTACAAATCCACACATTC